CTGCGGACCAATTGACAATTTGTCATTATTTTTTTCATTGTGGGGAGAGAACAATAATGCATAATGTGATTATTAGTCTTGCCTTATCCGTAGATTCGTCTCTTCTCCCATTTTTTCTAAAAATTAGCACTTTTTTTTTTCAAAATAATGGAAACAAACGCTGGAACACTGCTGGAAAATGTAATCTTGGACCCTCTGAACAATTCAGGGACCAAAAAAGTTCAAAACTAGTCGTTAGGGGCCGTCTAGGAATTATGTCCACCTTTTTTTGGATCCAGCCCACTGTGCACCGCTCCTCTCGGCGAGGCCGCCTGGTGCTGCGCTCTGGTGCGGCCGGCGGCTGCTTGGCGAACTGTAGATGCCGTGCGAAGTGTTAGTCGATGCTTACTCGTCGGAAAGCCGGACAGGAGCATAGTTATTTGGCTATTGCACTGTAAATGGGTTGGCGTCTTAAAAAACGCGAAAATATTGGTGTCCTCTATAGAACGCAAAATTTTGGCGTCAAAAGACACCAATTATTGGCGTCCAGTAAAAGAACGCAAAAATTTGGCGTCTTAGGAAGCCAAAATTTGCCGTCATAATGACGCCAGAATTTGTCGTCATAAGACGCCTATAGGCGTCAAAAGACGCCAACCCATTTTCAGTGTACCTGGAATACTCAACTTTGGGGGTTACCATCCTCCTGCAGAACTGCTGCACTCGACTTGTTCTAGACGGCCGCCAGAATCAGTAGCAAAAATGAACAGGATAACATACTTCTGGCATCGCGTTTGTATGGAAGATGGACTGATTGTGGAAGCAGGTCGCCGTATCGTTGCCAGTTGAACTCCGACCCCGACCCAGCTTTGCTTCCATCGTCCTCGCGCCCTGCTCCCGCCCTGCTCCCGCCCTGACCACGCCGTGCCACTCGCGGGTTGAACCGTGCCCGGCCGGTCCCACCTCACGCGGCCCCCACGGTCCCCTGGTCCCCCGATGCCGCCATGGCCCGAGGCCCACTCGTGCCCCCCTCCCCTTACCCTCCGTGGCCCACACCTGATCCACTGGGGCACAAAGACCAGACCCGGGCCCGCCCGGCCCGCCCGGCCACCAGGACCTTGAAGTTGAGTCAGCTCGTGCATGTGTTGCAATGCCGGAGCCGGCAGAGCGGGGGGCGGGCTGCGGGCGTGGCGGCGGGGCGTGGCGGGGCGTGGTCTGGCGTGGCGGGGCGCGGCGGGCCCGCGTCCTTGTGTCCGTGCTGTCTTCTTCCTCCGCAGGAAGGAGGGCGCCGATGTCCTGCTAGAGTCCAGCGGAGCTATAATGAGTGCGGATGCTGACCCACTTAAGTACCTTGACAAAAAATAAATATATTAAATTGTACTTGCCGTTCCGAAGTTTCCTTCCGCTTGCGACGAACTTGTGACCTTTGTGGACAATATTTAAGTCCAAGCCCTCGCCTCAGTTCCCTCTCCCCACCCGCTCGGGCGCGGCCTCCGCCCCGCCGCGTCGTGATCGTGACCACAGTCGGGTTGTCCAGACGCCCACCATGAGGCGCTGTATTGGGCGGTTCGGAGCAGACAGACAGTGATGGAGAGGGCTGCCCTGGACATGGAGTGTGATTGGGACGTCTCCCGGGTAAAAAATCTCGTGCGCCGTCGTGGATTTTGGAATCGGCAATGCTTCTGCCATAGAATAATTTCGGAAGACGGTTGGAATACTCGGCAATATGAAAGCTGTAAGATATTTTATAGGATAGGAGAGTAATAGTGAAATATACTCAGCCCCCCCCTCCTTTTCCCGTTAGCCCCTTTTCGAGTGTCCGAGCGGTCCACTAGTTTTGTAAATAATAGCCTCATGAGGCCCTTTGCGCCGCTTTGCGCCGCTTTGCGCCGCTTTGCGCCGCTTTGCGCCGCTTTGCGCCGCTTTGCGCCGCTTTGCGCCGCTTTGCGCCGCTTTGCGCGTCTCTGTTGAGACTGTAGCCCGCGACCCGCTGGCAGACCCTGACCCTCATTCTGTCTCACTTTCACTGGTGTTCGGGTCTCGCTCACACACATGCGCACCTGCCCCCGCACCTGCCCCCGCCCGGGAGGGGCTTTGGTCCCTCTCCCTCTCCTTTGTGTCCGCCCCCTCTCCCCCCACTCTGCGCAAGCGTGGCGGTACGTGATCGAAATCGATCAGCGCTAGCGCAACTCAGTTGACACGCGGAATGGGCCGCTCCCCTCGCCCCCTCCCACCCTCTACGCCGCGAACCACGCCAGCCCTAACAAATGTGTGGCCCAGTGTAGTCGACATGCCATATCACCGAAATCATTTGTGTGATATATATGTAGGTGCGTGCACTCCGATAGATGACAGAAAACCGCGTTAATTGCCTGTTTGAACAAATTTACGTGTTCTGATTGGAAACAGAACGCTGTGAGCCGATATATGATATTAAATGGGTCTGTCTTGTAAATCTCATGTTGCTGCGGACCAATTGACAATTTGTCATTATTTTTTTCATTGTGGGGAGAGAACAATAATGCATAATGTGATTCGTTATCTTGCCTTATCCGTAGATTCGTCTCTTCTCCCTTGGCGTAGCAGTCCTTACCTCACATGGATAGCTTGACGTTTAAAGCTCTAGTTCCGTCGGCGGATATTTCTCGTTGTGCTGGGATTGTGTCAGTGTCCGCGCTGCCCCTCCGCCGTCGCCGCTACACGTTGGGTTGCCAACCTGTCGGGCGGTGGCGGTGAGTTGACCAAAACAAACTCACTGGAAATGTGGACTTCACTTTACTCTTAAAGTGACAATTCTGTTACAGTGTTTGGTAAGATGTTAGTGGATGGTGGGCAGAAGCCGTCCAATGCGACCGCAGAGGCCAGTGGCTCCGTCAGATGTCAGCCGTGGTAGTATGGGCCTGGCGCCAACAGCGGTCCGGGCCCAGGCCCTGGACCCAGTAGAGGACCCGGTAGAGGCCCTGGGCCCAGCAGAGGACTCGGCAGAGGCCCTGGCTCCAGGAAGGGGCCCGGGAGAGGCCCTGGCCCCAGGAGGGGTCCGGGCAGAGGACCCGGTAGAGGCCCCGGTGCGTGCAAGGGAACGGCAGGTGCGACGACCTGGAGCGGAAGCAGCCAAGAAGGGAGAGAGAGAGAAAAAGAAAAATATACGAGGGTCATTTCTGTGTTTTGATGAACCCGTGACTTGCGCTCTGCACAGTATAGTATTTCGCGGACAACCTTGGGCAGCGCCGGGTGGGCGGCGGGCGTCCTGTCGACCACGGCGTTGAAGCCGTTGTGGGGGTCGGCCGAGTAGTGCACTGTCCTGGTCGAGCCGTCCGGCTCTAGGAGCGAGTAGCTGCCCCGCACCACGTCGCCGTCGCGGCTCTCGTGCTGGCTCTTGGCGTCGCCGGTGTGCGCGTCCTGGATATGATGTATGGTCGTACAGTTACAATTTGAAATTATTGTAATACAGAATTTACAAACACGTCATATCGACTTCGCTCGTCCCTAACTCAAAGCACGCACGGCGCAGCGCATCTAGAGAAACCAAGTATCTTTGGGCGACGCTCGAGAAACCAAGTATCGTTGCGCGACTCTAGTGAAACCACGTAACGCATTTTTTGACGATTTTTTAGGAACTACATGTTTGAATAGAGGGAAATTTTCTCTATCAAATGGTATCGGTTTCAAAACTTACCCAAAAATGGAGATACGTGGTTTCACTAGAGTCGCGCCACGATACTTGGTTTCTCGAGCGCCGCGCAAAGATACTTGGTTTCTCTAGAGGCGCTGCTCCGTGCGTGCTTTGAGTTAGGGACGAGCGACTTGGCACTGGAATTGATTGACAGATCAACAAGCAAATTTACAATATATTTTTTTAAAAGTAAAATAATAACAACAAATGTTAATTTACGAGGGTATTTCTCACAGTGAAACGCCAGCAGGGCTTACTTGGACCGAGTACCCGAAACTGTACTTGGGGACGGTGTCAGGGTACACGGGGGCGGGCGCGTAGAGCGCAGGCCGGACGGGCCCCGGGTACACGGGGTAGAGTCCGGCGGGGTAGGGTCCAGCAGGGTAGATGCCGGCGGGGCTGGGGCCGGTAACGTAGGGGCCGGCGGGGTACGGGCCAACCACCCCGCCTTCGACCAGCGCGGCCGCGCTCAGGAGCACGGCTACCTAGGAGAGGAAAGCAGACGGGAACATGCGAGAATCACACGCGGCGACTCTCCAGCTAGGAGCGAGAGTGCGGCCTTGACCGTGGCCCGGGCACGCCAAGAACCGCTTCCTTCACAGTCAGGCAGAGGAATAGACAGGTTCGGCCGGCGCGGCTGTGAGTTTATCCTGCTCTCCGTATCCGATGGTGTTGTTGCGAAGTATCAACCGAACGATTACTCATATCACCCCTACCCTACTTTCCTGTTTTACATTAATGATAATTACTTTCGGCGGTAACGGTAATCGCTTTTATTACCCATTTATCGCTTCCCCATCTGAACCCAGCACCTGTTTGGCCAGGCGGCTCGTTTCTTCCACTCGTTTATTTCGAAGTCATTACACTTATAAACCAGGTATCCAACTTCTTAACACTTGCAAGTTGAATATTTGAAAGTTTTCAACAACTGCGCAATAGTACACTTAAAGTGTTCAACTCGGTTATGGTTATCTTGCAAAGTGTGCAACTCTTTCTTTAACACTTGCCACATAGTAAGGGTCCTTATGTGCCGAGGGGTCCCCCATCACTGGAAACTGGTTGGCGTCTTATAACGCCAAAATACTGGCGTCCTCTATTGAACGCCAAATTTTGGCGTCAAAAGAAACCATAATTTTGCGTTATTTACCATTGAACGCCAAATCTTAGGGTAATATGACGCCAAATCTTGGCGTCATAAGACGCCGACCTGTTTACAGTGACTTCCCAAATAAGTGTACAAAGAGTTGGAACCAATTTTTTCAGAGTTTTTCGCAAATTTAGCGCGAGTTTCCGCGATTTTTTGCAAGTTCGACGGGAGTTTGACGCGAGTCCGACGCGAGTTGGTCGTAGGCAAGTGTATGAGTTGGCTAGGGGGGGACCCCTCGATATGTGCGCCAGGCGCGTCGCAGCGTAACAGTGTTTCGTGAGATGTCGGGAAGCCTGTTACGCGGGACGTGGTCTGTCGTACATTTAGCCAGTAATATATTCTGCACACTAAAAACCGTCGGTAGGAACCCTCGGGAAGCCTACTCACCACTCTGGCGTGCATGTCGCTGTGAAGGCGGGTCCTACTCAGGGGGACGGGGACTGCCCCCGCCCCCGAGACAGCAGGGCTTATATACCCTGTGCAATCCTAGGTGCAGTGCGGTGCATAGCGTGTGTGCTGGTGACGCGGGTGGAGGGGCTGGGGGTGGAGATGGAAGGTTGTATCTTATCATCAGGGTCTCGGTACACAAGTCACAAGTGGTGTAAAATTATGTCGAACGTACACACATTATATCGAACGCTGAATAATGCGTTTTGGACGGTTTTGGATTACAGCGTAGAAGTGGCCAGCTTGTTTCGCTTTATGAAGCATTCTCCTCGTTAGTCACAGTTCTGTGTGGCTGCTTTGATATTGGGGTATATGCGGATAATAGCACTAAAACTGTTAGCTTAGACCAAATTGTCTTTGTCCTCGTTCTCCTGCTGGAGTATGTGACTTGTCCATTAAATGCACGGGGCATATGCATGAAGCCTGCTTTCCATGCCCCCCCCTCCCCCTCAGTAACTGGTGTAGGGCCTGTACCATTGTCTTTCTCTCTCTTTCCCCGTCGTTTTCTACTCCCATCCTGTTCCCTTCGACCCTCAATTGGTGATTCGTCTTATCGGTCGCCTGAATGTGTCTCGGCGTAGAGATTTGTATCGACAGGCAGCAGTGCCATGGTTAATACAATTTTTAAATTAAAATTTTGCTGTTCGTGAGCCTGAGAGGTAGGCAATTTGTCCCTCCAATAAAACCTGGGTTCCGCCAAGGGTTCGTCGCTATCATCACGATCGTTGACCAAAGAAGATTTTAATTCCGAGGGCTTAAACTGATTCTTTTGAAAATGGGGAAGTGAAATTTGCACACAGAGATGTTTTTTTGAAGTAATCAGGCACTTATTCTGTTCGCGAGCCTGGCAATACTGCAGGAGAGTGGGGGGCAATGTCCTTGTATAAAGTTCCCTTACGAGGCTAGTACACGCAGTGTCTCGCGGATTTCCTATGTGGACGCTTTGTAAAATAGTCGTAGGATCACGGAGAAATTGATCGACAAGCTTCATTAAATTTTCATAATTATTGCAGACGTTTCATCATAGTAAATTGATTTTTTACCCTTTTACCCCTTTGCCATGTTATTTTTGTTTTATCTTCATGTTTTAAAAAAGGAATTCGCATAGCAACCTTGATGCATTACTTTTTTAAAAAAAAGTAAGAGCACCCCTCACCCGCCCTCCCACCGACACACTCCCCACCCCTCAATAAATAAATAAAATAAAATGAATCAAGAATAAGATAAAGAATTACCGGTGCCTAGCTTGTGGTGTGCACGTCAATAAAATATAACTGCTATCTCCGTTTGTCTTACATTTCTTCCCCCGACCCTTTGTTTAAGAGGCGCAGAGGTCAAGCGTTACGTTAGATTGTGCACGTTGTCGTGTCAGTGGCCCGTGGGTCACCGTGTAGGTGCGGTACTAAGTGCGGCACACAGGACGGGATGCCCTTGCTCAGACACAGCAGACCTTTGCCTTGCCTGTCGCACAGACTGGCAAGCTGCCGCACATTTAAAGGTCAATTAAAGCACAATTATGAACCCATACGGTGATTGTAGAATTTTTTTTCTTCTTCTTAGGTTTAGAGTTCGTATACGTCAGTATTCCTATCTCGTAGTACGGTGTCCATGGGGGTGCCCATGTGCTTTTTGGATTAGGACCCCGTTGTTGTGTTCGTTTCGAGTGCGCTCAGGAAGGTGGCCGAGTCGTATCGGTCTGCGTGTAGGCTGATACACACTTGCACTCGTGCTGAATGGCTCTAACGGCCAGCGGCATATTGTGTTGTCTCATTGTGTCAGTCTTGGCGGCGGCGTGCGGTGCAAACGCGACCTCCAGGAGCTGCACGCCGATCATTTAGATCCCAGCCGGCATCAAGCCCATAGCCCACCTAATCACTTGCACTGTCTCACTTCCGGAGCCTGGATCTTCGGGACAGGCGCCGCTGATGTTTGGGCGCCCGGGTGGGCCTCTGGCGAAGGCCAGACGGGATCGCTGTTACCCCCTCTCCCTCCTTTGCTCTTCCTCTTCGATCACCCGTTACTAAACATTTACCCTTTCCCTGGTTTACGGCCCCTTCCTTTCGCGCCTTCCCTCTGTGATCCAATCCTCACCGCCATCCGTTATTAGGGCTTTGTGGTTAAGGGGGCAGACCTGTGAAATGTAAGGGTTTGCAAGAATCGGCACTTCATAAAAACTACATGCCTCATTGATTTAGGTTTAAAGGTGTATTAATAGCAAATATGGACGCTAATTTTGCCGTTGGCGCTAGTACGCACACTCTCCAGAAACATTGCCGATCTTCGCCTTCAACTTGAACGACGTGGTCCCTCTCGGTGTGCACGATTGTAGCGCAACGGTTGGGCCTGCAACAGTAAAAAAAATGCTAGTTACTCATTAAAGATGCCGCTAGTGGTTGACTTGAGGGTCTTGCAAATTTCGAAATGGAAGTACTCGAAAAAAATCACAATGGACAAAACAAATTTTCCAATTTTTTTCGTATTTCAGCTATATGATTTTTTTCAAGTACTTCCATCTCGAAATTTGCAAAACCCCCAGGTCAACCACTAGCGGCATCTTTTTAGAGTTAGTAGCAATTTCGTTGACAGTCGCAGACCAATCCGTTGCAGCACAATCGTGCACACCGAAAAGGATTGCATCGTCCATTTGGAGGCGAAGATGGGCATGTTCCTGGAGAGTCCGCGCACCGGCGCCAACGGCAAACTTAGCGTCCATGTATGCTCTTAATACACATTTAATCCTAAATTGATGCGACGTGTAGTTTCCATGTAGTGACTATTTTCCCAACCATTCAATTCCAGTCACAGGTCTGCCCTCTTAATCCAGCGAGGTCCGCTAGCAAACAACAATTCTTTTGTGCTTACGCCTTTTTAATTTACATCAGACATGCGTTTGAAAGAAGCACGCATCACACGTTTGATCCATCGCAATGCTCCGTATCTTTTTGTGAGATATTCACGGAAAAAAGACTTTGTTCCGGTGATCAACTCGGCTTATTGACTAAATTAGATAGCTGGAAAGCCCGAGCCACAGCCAACACTCAAATGACAATTGGCAAGTCTGTACAAATCTTGCAAAGATAAAGTTTTGAATCCTGCAGGATCACTCATGAGTGTTGTATTTTGTATTTCCTAGTGAACCAATTATCCCAACTTCATATGCAAATTTGTCACAACACAAGCTTTATATTGCATCTTGCAAGGCATGCACACATACTATAACCACACAGCCGCATTTTGCTATAGACAAAAATTGGTGCGTCCCAAGGAGTTAGTTGTCATGACCAGATCGTTGTATCATGTGTGTTCGCACGTAAAAGAAATGACTAAAAAATTCAAACAGATTTAGCAATGTTTTTGTACTGTTTATTTTTTTTAGATGAAATAAATATTGGCAAATAGGAACTTAGTGGTGGTAGTAAGCGGGGGCAGCAGCGTACGCAGCGGGGGCGGCGTAGGCGACGGGGGCAGCCACCTTGGCGATAGCGGGGGCGGCGTAGGCGACGGGGGCGGCCACCTTGGCGACGACGGGGGCGGCAGCCACGGCCTTCACGGCGACGGCGGGGGCATCCTTGTGCACGACGGCGTTGAAGCCGTTGACGGGGTCGGCGGTGTACTCGACGGTACGACGGGTGCCGTCGGGCTCGACGAGGGAGTAGGAGCCCTGGACGACGTCCCCCTGGCGAGACTCCTGCTGGGACTTGGCGTCGCCGGTCAGGGAGTCGTGGATGTCGTAGGCGTAGTTGTAGGCGGGGTTGGGGTCGTAGTCGGTATCGACGGCGACGGCGGCCTTAGCGAGGACGGGGGCGGCGATAGCCTTGGCGACGGGGTGAGCGTAGGCAGCGGGCTGAGCGTAGGCGACGGGGGCGGCGTGAGCGTAGGCCGCAGGCTGAGCGTAGGCCACAGGGGCGGGGTGAGCGTACGCCGCGGGGGCGGCGTAGGCCACAGGGGCAGCGGGGATGACGCCGGCGCTGGCCACAGCCACGCACGCAGCGAACACAACAAACTGCGACAAAATAATATTGTTATGGGACTGTCGTAATTTTTCACCCCAAAGCCTAACGTTAAATGTTGCTCCAGCCTAATTTGCATCTTTTGTACTCCAAATCACTTGGTGTTTAGTAACACACGGTTTCACGCAGTTTTATCTGTACTGCTAGAGAAGCGTTGAGCTTTAGTGCCTGAAGTACAATTTGAATACCAAGTACAGTTCACTCGATTCAAGTAGATTGTGCGTGATACAAGAACACGCTTCTCTTGGTTTATTCTTTGAAACTTCTTTATCAGATGGTAAATCAAAATTTGTCTTAGTGTCGATGGTGTACACTGGTAAATGAAGTGTGCAACAGGCGTGCACATGCAAGTGTGCAACAGTACAGTCAGTCATGAAGCTTTGGACACTTTACATATTTCAAATTCACTGGGGAACACTTTTGGGGGTTTCACATTTCTTGTCAAACAGTCGAACATATAGTTGAACTCTACCATGTGCATGCCAGTTACACATTAATGTTTTCCGTGTACATATCTTTTTCGCTACCGTTATTTCAGGACCGTTTTCTCACCTTGTATGCCATGGTTGATGGAGGTCTTGGTTGAAAACTGTTGCCAAAACAGTAGTACCGATGGTCCTGCTCGTCGTGCTTTTATACTGCCCAGCCCGTCCCGTCCTGCCCCCTACCCGAGCAGATGCCCCCTCCCGCCGCCTTTCTGCTGCTTGCAGCCCCACCCGGGCAGGGGAGGGGGGCTAGCCCGAATTATTGGTGGCCCCGTCACCCCTACCTCTCAGCTTATTCAATCAGGAAGGCATCTTCGGCACAATTCGGTGTATGTGTAAACGTAAACGTAGGTTCAAGTTAGCAGGAACAAAGAAATACATTTAGCGTGTATGGTTTGAAACCTGAACATGATAAGGTGCTAACTGTGATTTACAGAAGCTGTACTCTGTACATGACTGGTCATTTAAAAAATCGACTTAATTCCCTAAAATTCGATTTGCGTTGTATTTTACTCCTCAAACACAAATAAGTATCGGGAAAAGTGTGTGAATTCAAGTTCAACCTGCTAGTGCATATAGTTTTCTTTCTTTGATGTTCGTGTTTTACAAATGGGTTCTTTTCGCTATTCGACAGCTTTCTGCTTTACTTAATTTCCACCTTGTTTGTGATCTGAATGTTGTTTTTCAGTGACGCCTAGAGCACTTGCACACGAGCAGGCTCCTTGAAGCTCGACTCGGACAGTCGACCCTCGCGTTTTGCCGATTCACTCTGAAGGCATAACACTAAGGCTCTGCCCTTGGTGTACGGTATCGAATATAAATTACTAAGTTATTGGAGCTGTTTGTAACACGTCTTTTTAATTGGACTAAAAGTACAAAAATTAGCCTTGCTGGCTTTTAAAAATGTTGAAGACTGCACCTCCATTACCAAAAGCGTTTAAAATGCTGGAATTAGTTTTTGTATTTGATTTTTGCCTTTTTTTATTGTATTGGTTTTTAAGTTGTGCTTTAATTTAATCCTTTTCCGAGCGAGCGGCAGATTTAATGATAACTTTGGCAAAATCTCCGAACGGAGTTGCCTGCGGTGCGAAGTGCAGCTTGGCAAAACAACAAAAATAGGGAAGTAGTAATAAAAAAAATTTCACCGAAACTCGTCGAAAAAAATACTGTTACTATCCTTAGGGTGTACCAAACATGTTGTCAATAGTAGTTCACTTTTACTTAGGTCTACTGATTAAAGGTGGTACACACACCTCAAATTTGAAAATACGGAAAATCCTATGGCGCACAGTCTTTGGTATTGGACTGGAAATTTGAACACTTCATGGCCAACTCCAAACGTTAGCACGTTTAGGGACTCTATTACAATTTTGTTATTCCATACTTTTTACAATTAAAGGTTACCGTAGTTGGTTTTGAAATAACTTTCTTCATTTAATATTTATTGGATTTTATTTGTAAAGACGAGTTATCGCCCTGGGAGATATGAATGATCGGAATCATAAAATGGCACTTATGGCTATCGCAATCTCCTTTTAAAAGAAGGAAGGTATGAAACACAAAATTAAATAAAATCGTCGCTCTTTCAATGTTAGGGTCATCCAGATTATACGTCCGTGATTTACTGTTACAAAACTGCCAAATTCAGCCAAATGTCATCCCTCATAGCGCCTACTAGGTAGGCAACATCGGGACTGTAGTGCATATGTGTACTGCGGGGTAGCCTACTCCCAGTGTCACAGGCGCTGAGCTCACCTAATTTACTGAATAAGTCTGAGAAAAACGGACAGACTTCCTGGACGATCACTTGGAAAAGTTTTCTGTGTTTTGTGTTAGAATCTTACTGGTGTCGGCGTAGCCTAACTTACTGTGGCAGATTTTCCACTTCCTATTTCCTAAACTAAAGGCCAATGGTGAAAAACAACCTAATTTTCGAATTATAAG